GTTAGTAAACAGAGAATGATTGTTTTTTTTTTTTTTTTTTTTTTTTTTTGAAAACTTGTATACGTGTTGTACGTCTCTTGATTACTTCCATCGAGTAATTGTTACATCTATTTCTCACTTTTTATTTTTTATTTTTTTCTCCTCTCTGTATTTTTTTTTCTTCTTCGTTCTCGTAAAAATAAATCGAAGATGTTCTGTCGTTACAGTTTGCTGTTTCGCACAATCATAGCCCATAGTTTGTTCCTTCGAGCCATTCGTTTCACTATGTTCCGAGTCACGATTAGATTTCAACAAGTTGAAAAAGAAAAAAGAAAACAAAGAAACGTATGTCCCATGGCCACTCATCTTCATTCTCTCTCTCTCGTCTATATGGTAGTTAAGAAAAACGAGCTCCGTGCAACTTAAGCTATACAGCATATGATACACGTTACGTGTGTGTGTGTGTGTGTGTATATTGCGTACACTCTTTTCACCGTACCTGTCCGGTTATTTTATTTATTTATCGTTTAGTCGAGCGTTGTCGCCGATAACGTAGGTAAACGTGCTTTATAGCCGCTTCTATCCCGGGAGTCCCAACTGCTTTCAATACATTTATCGCTTGAAGCTTCTTTCACAGAGACTCGCTTCTTTACGCAGAGGGGGCCATTATTCACGCATACACGCATACATCGATATTTATATAACGACACATCGACCCAATTTTTTTTACAATCTTTCCACTCGCGGCACTCACTCTAGGAATCTTCCTTCATTTTCAAACAGAGGGGAACTTCGAGAGGTTCTTAGTCTTTTTTTCTTATTCGCTCCTCGAAATAAAAACTGTACGTTCCTTCTTCTTCTTCTTTTTTTTTTTTTTTTTTTTTTTTTTAAACAAGAAATTTCTGTCGATCAATTCCTTCGATTTAGCTTCGCAAAGGCAAAGAAACATTTACATGGTGTACAGTAGTAAAGCAGAAAAATGAAAAGGAGAAAGAGAAAAGATACGACCGATGTTGAAACCACCGGTGTGTGCGATTGTACATTTTGTAAAGAAAACATTTCGTATGTGGCCTGTGTGTGGTGCAGGGTCTGTTTTGAGAGGTGGTGCACCTCCGTTCCCTCACGCGGTAGCAGTGTTACCTCCGCTTCCTGCCAACCACAACCAGAATCACAACCACAATCATCATCACCACCATCACCACCACCACCATCACCATCACCACCAACATTATTACGATCATCACCAACCCCAAAATCCTCAAGGTGAGTCCGCGATTGTCTTGCCTCTCTGTCTTGAGTTTCTCTCCTTGCAATTTTGGGCTGATGTCTCTCTCTCTCTCTCTCTCTTTCTGTCTCTCTTTGTCTCTCTCTCTATTTTTTAAAATAAAATCTCTGTCTATTCAGCGACCGGCGTTGCTTCCGGATTATTCGTGTAGAATATCCGTGCATGAGAGTACAGTAGATGATAACTAATAATGATATCTCTCGGCGAATGGATGTCATCCAATAGGATGATTGAATAGAGAATGAAACGACTCTTGCTACTAATCGTTTAGATACGTACGTTAGAGAAAGAAAACGAGTGGACATTGGAGTAGATGGAGGAGGTTCTGTGCCGACCGGAAGCAACGCGTGTTTGGGCTTGAGGCATTTATTGCATAACGTATATATGTATACGCAGCGATGCACAAGGCTTAATCTGTATATTAATCGCTTGCTCGAAGGGTTGGCGTGTGCACGCTAATAATCACGTGAGTATCGTTGCCTGCCGTAACACGTGTATGCAGGTCATGCGTGCGTATAGAAAATGGTGTGTGCGTTGCATCGACAATGTTGTGTGATCATTCTCTTCTTTTTTCTCCCTTTTCTTTCTTTCGATTGTGTTGCCACGTCCCCCTCAGGATTAACGGAGCATCGTGGCTTCCTTTCAGGGTATATACATTAACTGGTTCTCTAACTATGCTTTTCATGCTCTGTTCTTGGGTTTTGATCTAGCGGTGAATAACGTGCGTGTTTCTGTACGTCGGTTCGTCTTTCCTTTTCTCGACACTGCGTCTCTGAACGAGCACCGACGAGTTTCTCTTCTTCTGATCTGAAAATCAGAGAAATAAAAACAGGCGACATCGCCTATTCTCACATTTATCGTACGATTCAACTTGCTCGTTTCTGTA